CTCATCCAGTGTGCTCTTAAGTCCTTCCAGAGATTGTTTCATTTCCGTAATCTCCCTCCGGACTTCATCCCTTAGCTCTTGCATATTTCTCTGAAGATCTATCAGCATGGTTATAACCTTTATTTTGAATTCCTTTTCAGGGAGATTGCCTAGGTCTGTCTCCCCAGGCCCTCTCTCAAGGGCTGTCTGGACTATTTTGGATTGGACTAAATTCTTCTGCCTTTTCATGGTGATAGCAGTGGCTGTAGGCAGGTAGCGGGTGTGTCAGCCGGGAGAACAAAGACCTTTCCTGCTTGCTAGTCACCTTGCCCTTCTCCGCTGCCTGTGTCGGTTACCTGCACTCCTGGAGCAGCCTCTGCGTTAATCCCCTAAGCTGCTGTGGGCGGGGTCTCCGTCAGAGTAGCACAGAGCCCTGCGGCAAATGGCAGGTGTGCCGGGTGCACTCTCCCATGTAAGTGGTGCCCCTGCCAGGCAGCTGTGTACCAACAGCAGCCTTTGGGACTGGCCCTGGCGGCTGTGTGCTGGGCTAAGCAGTTGCTGGGGGCGCGGCTGCTCCTGGGCTGCTCCTCTGCCGCCATCGCCAGCTCCCGCAGGCCACTCCCCAGCCTTTCTACCACCGCTGCGGGATTGCGTGGGCCTCTCCCAGGCCCCTCCAGTGCTGCTGCTGCCGGCATGTGTGGGCCGCTCCTGAGCCGCTCGGTTGCTGCTGCTGCAGGCTCATGCGGGCTGCTCCCGGTCCCCTCTGGTGCTGCCGCCACGGGCTTGTGCAGGCCATTCCCAGCCCCCTCCAGCACTGCCACCATGGGTTCGTGCGGCCCGCTCTGTCGCCGCTGCTGCCGGCCCACACAGGCCGGTCCCAGGCCTCTCAGGTGCCGCCATCACAGGTTCATGCGGGCCGCTCTGTCACCACCGCCAGCCCACACAGGCCGGCCCTGGGCCGCTCAGCTGCCACCACCACAGGCTTGCACAGGCCACTCCCAGGCCCCTCTGGTGCCGCCTCCCCCGGCGCACACTGCCACTCTCCCACTACTGGGCCAGTGTCTCAGGGTCTGCACCAGTTGGGGGAATGACTGGTAGGCTGCTTATCGTTGTGAGGGGCTTCACAGCTGTGCTGCCGCCCAGGGGTTTAGGTTGCCTAGAGTTCCCTGGATTCCCAGGTGCTAGTGTACGTGTGTTGGGATGACTTCATCCAACTGTGAGGTCACTGTCCCTTTAAGACTTGCTAAAAGCACTCGCTTTTCTTTTGTCTCAGGGGCGCAGGTTGCAGGGACCTGCCCGCAGGTTTTGCTTTTCCATTTCTTTAATATCTAGCTCCGTGTACACCGTGTGTCTGCACTCCTGGTGCAGATTTTTAGAGCTGGTTGTTTAGCAGTCCTGGGCTTTCACTCCCTCCCCACTCTGACCCCTTTCTTCCCGCTGGGGTCTGGGATAGGGGGGCGTTTGGGTCCCACTGGGCCGTGGCTTGTATCTTACCCCCTCTTGTGATGCTGAGTTCTCGCAGATGTAGATGTAGTCTGGCTGTTGGACTGTATCTACTGGTGTCTCTTTTAGGAATAGTTGTATTTGTTGTATTTTCAAAAATATATATGTTTTTTGGAGGAGATTTCCGCTGAACTACTCACACCGCCATCTTGGCCCCTCACCCCAAAAGTGATTTTGTGCTTACAGCTGAGCACAACAAGCCCTTCACTCTTTGCTATCATTTAAACTCCTGTTTTCTGGTGGAGCCCTAATAAAATAATGCTGGGCCTATTTGAAATAAATATCATGGATGTCTATTGAATACTGCTTGGCTCAAACCTCTAGAATACGGGTACTTTACTCTAGACCAACAGAATGCTCAGCTGGGTCTCAAGCTTGCTAACTTGAACTAAGAGGAAGCTGGTTCCCATTAACAAAAACAAAAATGACAGAATCTTCATGCTGCCTTAAGAATTCAGTCCTCTTATTCTAGTTTTACAAATTAAGACACTGAAGTTTGAAGAGGAAACTACTCCATGTCTCACAGCCAGTAAGTGGTAAGCCAGAACTTGAGCTCATATCTGTCTTATCCCAAAGCACTGGCTCCATGCATTAAAATCCTAATTATCAGTGCAACAACAAAAAAAGTGAAGAACATTCTGGAAAGGGCTCCTCAAAGGCAGAAGATGGCTGGTACATGGCCTCCCCTTTGTTAAAGCTGTTTCCAGGGAAGAGGAAAGGAAGCAGTGTTGCCCCTTTTGAACCCACCCACCAAAAACAGCTCCACAGAAGCAAAGCAGTTGCCTGCAGATGGAAGAACTTCCTCACCCCCTGAGATGGGACATCTCAGTTAGCTAGCTGTGCTCTTCAGAGAAGCAGTGTTGGTCAAAATAACCTAGTAACTGTTTCCGCTTCAGCTTTAACACTATCTATTTGCAACACTAGAAATTAAATGCTCTTCCCTAAGTTTTAAGAAAATTTTAATTCTTAGTTTAATTAGTGAAGTCAGAGTATATTTTTGTCTTGTTAGAGCTTGTTCCTGAATACTGGTAAGCATTCTTCTGGAAGCACTGGGCTGCTGGGGCCCAGCTT